TGGCAGAGGCAATTTATCACAGCTCAATGATAAGAGTTCTGGCAAATTCCCAAATTCCCATCACACATCTAGGAAAGAATCTGGCCCACAGACTGCCTTTAATTAAATGTCTGTCTAATCACACAACTTCAATAGCATACAGATGATTGTCATAGAGAGTTGGAATTACTCACTTTCACATTATGGAACTCATTAAGTACATTTCTTCACACTGAAAGAATTTCTTATAGGTTGATTCAGCCTTAAGGAGAAAAAAAAACCTAAACAACAAAAAACATTTTGCAGTCTGAATATCTTGCAATATTATCCAACAAAAGAAAAGGAAAATACTAATTAGTAAGCATGTGGGAATGACTGCCAAGCCTTCTATATTAAAATATGATTTGTTTTACACACCTGAGCCTTAAAATCATTAACTCCTAGGACAACTATGATATGTTGGTCATTTAAAGGGTTATTCTGACTATAGAGTAATAGGCTCTAAAGATCATATATTGCTTTAAAGAAAGTGAGCAACAGTTGATCCACCTGACAAGAACCACTTTTGGCATCTGAGTAAATTTTTAACATCCTCCTACCCTACTACAGAACTTACTTATACATATTTGTGCTCATATGCCACACAATCAGATCTGTAGGATAAAGTGAAATGTGTTTAGAGAATGGAAAGTTTCTGGGGAAAAAGAGTCCAGAGGAGGTACTGACAGAGTCCCTAGCTTTCATCCTATGTTATACACCATGTGCAATATGCAACGTATATCACTGAGGCAGCTAGACGGTGCAATGGATAGAGCACTGGCTCTGGAGTCAGCAGGACCCGAGTTCAAATCCAGCCTCAAACATGCTAACTCACTAGCTGTGTGACCTTGGGCAAGTCACTTAACCCTGACTGCCTCGCCAAAAACAAAACAAAAAAACAAAGCATGTCATCTATTTGTTTAACTGGGTTATAAAGGTGTTTAGAATAATTCTCTGATTAGTGTTTAAAAACTTTTTTTAATATGTTAATGTAAGATAGGATGCCTTCTATAAATAACAGCATCCACTATATTTTTGATTTTCTGAGGACACTAATAGGTGTGCCTTTAAAAACTATATGCTTAGGGATCTGCTGACTGAAAACTAATGATACCAACATTAGTCCTTGCAGAAACACTAAAGAAGTAGGAGTACATAACCTCCACAGAAGTCATCCACTGATGTCTCATCTTGTAACAGAGGCAACCTAGGATTCCCAGAGGTTACACATGTGCCATTCCAAATTTGGAAGGTTCTACCAAGTTGGAAAGGTTCCAAGTGCAGACCCAGTGATGATCTGTATGTTTCCAGACCTAAGACTAAGTTCAAGCTACACTAGAATAGCTTAAGACCTTGCTGGTCACTAGGTGATCACAATTTTAGCCATGGCAACTGGTTTCCATCTTTGTCACTACAGAGCGCATTCACATCAAATAAATCACAACCACTTCAAGTCTGGAACCCTATAAAGAGTAGATAAAGCACACATCTTGGTTACTACAAAATGAAAAGAAGAAAACTGCTTAAATACCAGTGAAAAGGTAGACAGTTTTGTCCTCACAGACATCTATCTTAGAACTAAACACCTTCTCTAAAATACTTGATATCAAACTACGTCTGAGAAAGCAAACCAGCTACATTGTACCCATGTGCCTTTGAAAATTCTTCTCTGGTATTTATACACTGTACACTGTATAAGGTTTCAATGCATTTGACTACCTATTTCAGAAACATATTATGTAAGTGTCAACAGAAGAAAAGAATTGAGGGTATACATATGAACAATGTACAGCTAAAGACTCCACAGGGTGATACACCTGGTTCCACTCAATCTACATTTGAATGCAGTCAGGGGCACTCATTTGACATCAATTTCTAAGTAAAAAACATTGGCACGTACAAGAAAACTTTTACTTTAACAAGATCTAATAGCTCTGCCTCCAAATAACTATAAGAATCAGATAGTCATACCATTTATCAGTCAACTATTATTCCCTATGGAAATTCTATACGATTATTACCACTCTCCAAATCCAAATATTCATCCATTAGAGAACATTCTAAACTGAAATATGGAGATAAATTAAAAGAAAAAACCAAACTCATTTCTATAAAGTACCATATGTAATGCAAAGAGCCCTAGTCTGGGAGTTAGGGCGGGTGAGTTTTTATTTATGGTTCTGCCCCTAATTAGTCACATGATTCCAGGCAAGTCACTTTTGCTTTCTAGGCATCATTTTTCTCATCTGTAAAATATGAATGTTGAATTAGATGACCACTAATGATACTCTCAAATCGAAAATTCAGAAATTCTGTGAAATAATTAAACCTGAAAAAAAAACCCCACCTAAGTATGCTCATAGTACCAACATCTTTCAAACTCATCAAGAATCAAGCTGAATGTTAAATCACCCTCTGAATCAGTAGGAAAATGGAAGTTTTCCAGAACCAACAAAAAAAAAACTGTACTAAAACTGAGTAAGTTTTAAGAATATTTAAAACAGTCTGATCAACATTCATGTGGGCAGATAATTATTTATGGTTCACTTAAGGTCAACTGATATTTTTGTTGAGCATATATTACTGCCAAATTCTACTTAAGTTAGCCAAATATATCCAGTTCTTCCTACAATACGACGTCATAAAATGATTACAGTAAGGCCACCGGCAGAGACTTCACAGTTGCAACCCATTTCAACATTTTGGTGGTTAATTAATAGCTACAAAATTTGTTCCATGATTCACATTAGTAACAAATGGAGCAAGTAGTGAAATAAAAGGCATGACAACATTACTGAGATACTTCTCCAACTCCAGCATACATATGTACCACAGTACTTTAATGTCTAGTATTTTGCACTGCGGGGAGAGGGACGGGAGTCTGGCTGAGAATGGACTTTTTGAAGGACAAGATTCATTACTTCTTTATACCAAAACAATGAAAATAGGCAGCAACACAAAGGAGGCACCTTTAAAATAAGTCAATCACATCAACTATAAGGTCTTGTCCGTGTAAGTTTTTTTTTTCTCGTCAGGAAAGGACTCAAGTTATTTTTAGCAAGAATGGGAACATACAAAATATAATACAAGTGTAAAGACAGATGTAACTGTGCAGGAAAATTCTCCTGTGTCGTACCCTGTTCAGAGATGGTTATTTAGTCATCTAATCTACTGGTCAACATTCAACATCAACAGTCAGTAATGTTTTTCTTTCATATAGAGATTATGAGGACCAGAATTCCTCAAGACTACTGACCAACAACATTTTTTTCCACCAACTACTCAGAAACTAACCCTGTTTTATTAAGTTACAGTTAATGGTCATTATGCTGACTTTAATACCAATTTATATAAGTCCTGAAGAGAAGCAAAACCAAATAAATTCTTCCCACCAAAATGTGCACTATTTTTGACCAATGTTTCATCAAGATTTGATTATAAATAACAACTTACATGTAGCCTAGAATTAAGTTTCATACCCACCCCTATTTATGAGGCACTAAAAAGTGGATCTCCTTCTTAAGGAATCAAGTCAAGCCAGTATGCCTTCCTGTAATTTCAAAGACAATCTAACCCAAGCACTCAGTTAATCAGCATAAAGACAATCTGCTTTACATGACTGGACCTACATGAATATTTTCTGCATAAACACAACCCACTTACAAGTCATATTAAATTGATTATGAATTCCTTTTGCTAGCTAGCTACCATCAAATAAGAAAGCAGTAATAGGCATATTATGATGATCTATTATTGTCATTTCTCTTATCTACCTGGTCAAACAAATGTTGAAGAAAGCTATACTGTCCAGTCATTTGATTTTTTTCATTAAGAACTTAAAAATATTATGTATACTATCTAAAACTTTGCTCATACAAACCTTTTTTCTTTATTTCTAATAAATAGTGGTGAAAATGTATGAGTTATCAGAGAGGAGGCCCCAATCTAAATTCAGGATCTATGATCCCAGACTCCTAGCAGCTAAAGACGTGCATGCCAACGTCATCATTAAAAGAGACATACACACGCCCCCTACTCTGTTTCCTCATCAATCTGTAGACTACCAAAGGAATACTTGTTGCTAGGTAAGGGAGGGGAATTCAGCACAACAGGATTACCAAACATGAGGGACTGGTTGAAGGGGCTTACTATTTCAGAGTCTGAATCACTTGATTCAGTTCCACTGCTGGTGGAACCCTCTGCTATTTGAATAGCAGCCACATGGTCTATCTTACCACTGGCACACCCACGCATCTTGTTTGGGCCAAGAACAGCTACGCCATTTGCCAATGCTTTACCTTCTGAACTAGCCATTTTGGTGAGCTCTCCCTTTCCATGGTTGTCTAGCCTACTTTCTTCCCCTGGGGTTGAGACTACATGGCTAAGGATGAATGGGTCTGTTTCTGACTTATTAAATGCAAGAGAAACATTTTTTAAGTGTGGCCTTTGCAAGACAGGGGAATGATTTCCAAAATGAAGATGTCTGTTTGGGACAATGTCCTCTTCCATAACTGTATTTCTATAGTCATGGCCATTTTCTGAGATATAGCCTTGAGACCCAGTTCTATCCCAACTCAAATTAGGACTTGATCCTCTGCTACTAGGAGACAATGGAGTGGCAAGAGGACTACAATTACCAGACCCCCTAAACATTTCATCCACCAGGGAGCTATGTCTTTGAAGTCTGGGGCTCCCACTACCATAAAAGGTTATGTCTTCTAAATCATCATCAATGTACTCTCTGGAAATAGGCTGGGAAGACTTCCAAGAGTTGAGGGAATCCCTGTGCCTAGGCTTGTTCCAGTTTTCATCTCTAGAGAGCATATAAACACCACTGGTCAAATCACCCTCATGATTGTCATTTGTTGGGGAATGCAACTGAGTTACTGGTTCTCTTAGAAGGTCATATTCACTATCTACATCACTGCAGTCAATGAAAGGAATGGAGGTGCTGCTGCCCCGAGCAGCCCTCGATGCTGGACCTGTGCTTGGCTGCTGCGACTGAGGATTACTCTGCCGAGTTCTATCCTTAACGACCTCCTCCTCTTCCTCCATCGTTGCCATCACAACACCATCAACCCGCCGGCCATCCTTGGGACTCTTCTTTAGAGAAGGGCTCTTGTGTTGCCCAGACTCCTCAGCAGAAATGTTCAGTTCTTTCCCTTGGTGGCAACTCTGGCCCCCTGGTGAATCAATACCATCTCCATAGGTAAAACTTGAGCTCTGCAGTGGAAAGGGAGGGTAAGCAGGAAAAAAGAGATAGGAAGAGAAGGTAGAGAAAATGAAGAGAAGAGAATAAGATTAGGTTTGGACTTCTTGGTTTGATTTGTTTCCCTATATCGAATCCAAATGAATAAAATCTCATTAAAACTACAATTTCTAGAGGGTATTTGTTTTGTTGGTTTTTATTGGAGAAAAGAAGTGAGGGGAGGGCAGTTAGACCAGAACTGTGATTGATATAGGGAATTCCCAATGTAGAAACTCCCTCTGTCAATGCAAACCAGTACTTACTCTGGTTATTGGGAGAAACAAGAATAATAATAACAACAACAAGCTCCTCCAGGTAGTATGTAAATATAGTAATACTGCCTACATTATAGATACAACACTTGAAAAATTTCAAAGCATTTTCATATACATTCTCATTTGCTTTGAAAAGCACTGTGTAATAAAGAGTATAAATTCATTATATTTGAATATCATACAGAAAGAATTTAGGAACACAGAATTTTAGCTTGAAAGGACCTCAGAAATCATCTTGTCTCACCTGCTCATTTAATAGATGAAGAGACTGAAACCTAGAATGGTGAAGTGACCTTCTATGCCCAAGGTCACCCACTCTATAGGTAAAGCTGGGATATAAACCTCAGTCTCTACTATTCTATGCTCGGTGCTCTATCACATGTGAAAAGTACAGAGCTGGGTGCCAGACAAATGCTGGCCCTTGTTCTCCAGAAGCATACAAAAGTTCTGTTTCAGTGTTTCAGGTTTACACGAAACAAAGAAACCCTTCTCATCCCATCTCAGCTCTAGGGCAATAGAAGAAGGGAATTTGTCATAGACCTATAAAGACTGGTTAACAAAAACAACTTTGGGAAAAAAAACCTCCTGTGCTGAAATTTTATGTGCTGAATGGATATATTTATATAATGGAATTCCTTAATGTTAAGCCTTAACAAAGTTCTTACTCTCCATCAGAAAAAACTCAAAACTTTTCCAGAAATTACCTCCAGGAAAATATGCTTTAGCCACCCTCAGAACAACACAGTGATAATGCCTCTTGTTAAGAATAGCAGTCGCTGCCCTGTAAAATAAACCCTGGGAACTCATTTCTCAGTTTGATGCCAACTAAGGGTTAGGACCTTGGCAATGAGCTGCAGTTACACCCATCAGCTAGCATAACGGTTTCTAATCTCTTCAAGCAAGTGAACCTGTTTAGCTGATGAAAACCTTAGCTCCACAAACAGACTTCTTCAGTTTTATTATTTAGTTAAGTTTGTGACAACATGGCAGCCTTCTCTAGGGTTCATATCATACATACAACTGAACAGGAAACACCAAATGGGTTGAATCCCATGGTAAATTTTAATTCCAGGCTGAGAATTAAAAGAAGCCAATAGCCTAAAGCTTGGGCATACATAATAGAACTTCATGCTTTTGCACTAGAGACTTTGCAAAAACTGATAAAAAAAAAAAGCTAAAACTAAAATTAAAATGATTCAAGTTAAAGATGAAGAATAGTGAAAATAACATATTTAGCAATACTAATTAGAAGAAGCCACTTGAATAACATATGCCCAGTACTGGATACTTATCACCATTACTGACTTGCTTCGGCACCTCTGAGTTCTGTTCGGAAGGCTGAGCAGAGAGGCTTCTGATTGACCGAATCTTGCTGTGCTTCCTGGGAGAAATCACATCAGGTAGCTAAGTTATATAGAGTTTTTCTCCAAGAAAAACTAACACTGAGCATTTTCTTAAAAAAAATCAAAGCCACACCCCCAACTCCTCAAAGCAAGCTTTTATAATTTGTTCTGAAAGTGACTCAAAATTCTGCCTTTTCTCATCCCTAGAATGCCTTATGTGTTACTTAAGTATGATTGAGAAGGTCACAGTCGAATCAGTTTCAAAGATCATTACAAATCTTAGAAATGCCTTGCAGCTTGCAAATGTCAATGGAGATAGAGAATTCCATGGAATCAGGCACACTTTGAGCAGCAAGCTCCAGGCTAACATTTTGCAATTAGTTCTGTGTATTTCATATATTTACTTTCTAGGTCAGCTTCATGGAACAGACAGTACTTATTTAATCAGCTTATACTATCTAGTACTTGAAATTCAAAGGAAAAGAAGCAAGAGCCTAAGAATGGATATCTATGATAAGAGACTTATCTTGGGATCACTGCAATTATAAGCTTAATCACGGCAGCTGACTTGAACCACAATTTCATCAATATCATCTCCCTTTACTTTTCCCCTTCCTCTGAAAAATAATAAAGCTGAATAGAAACTTAGGAACTTTTTTCTGAGAAATATAATGAAACAAAGCAAATTATATAACTATCAACAATTTGATGTTACTAATAAAAATTAAATTGCAAGGCATTTTCACATGTTAAAAAAGGAAAAATTAAATAAAGATCATTTATTGATGACTTAAAAATTCAGAAAAAATTACTATTTCAGGATGAAAATGCTATTAAAGATGACTTATGAGAAGAACGTGGATTTAATTATACTCAAATTTAACCTACAATTTTCCCTGCATTAAAAAATAAATTATTTTAAAGTAATTAATAATCCAAATAATTGTCATACTCTCACCTATTTTTAACATTTTATTACTTTCCTGTCATAGTCTCTCTTTTCATTCCTTTTTCCTGCTTGTCCATGCTAAATTTTCTAATCCTAACTTCTCATCCATGATTTATCTAATTTACAAACTCACAAAAATTCATAAAGTTTAAGGTCAACAAATATTTACTGTGTGATTAGCCCCATATAAGTATTCCCTTCCAATCCTTTATACTCAATTTTCTGTTTTGTATTTTTGTTTTTTTTTTTCCCAATGGGAGTATTTCTTTCTCCTCTATTCTTGGATGAATAGCTCTCATTCCTTGCTTAATGCTCTTTGCCTGTTTCTTTCTCTCATATTCCTTTACACAGATACAGAAATGTCCTCTGATTTTGAACTGATCCAACCATTCTGGAGAACAATTTGGAACCATGCTCAAAGGGCTATAAAACTATACACACCCTTTGACCTCATGATACCATTACTAGGTTTGTAACCCAAAGAGTTTTTTTAAAAGGGGAAAAGAACCTATCTGTATAAAAATATTTATAGCAGCTTCTTTTTGTGATGGCTAAGAATTGAAAACTGAAGGGATGCCCATCAATTGAGGAATGGCTGAACAAGTGGCGTAAGATTGCAATGGAATATGATTGTTGTATAACAAATGATTAGCAAGATGATTTCAGAAAAAAAAAAACAACTGGGAAGACTTACATGAACAGAGTGAAGTAAGCAGAACCAGGCAGACATCATACATAGTAACAGCAAGACTGTATGATGAACTGTAAATGATTTAGCTATTCTTAGCAATACAATGATCCAAGACATCCCAAAGAACTCATGATGAAAAATACTATCCACCTCCAAAGAAAAAACTGATGGAGTTTGAATAAAGACTGAAGTTCCTTCCTTTTTTGAGTTTTCCTCCACCAATGACTAACATGAAAATATTTTGCATGATTGCACATGCATAACCTATATTAGATTGCTTACTATCTCAAGGCATGGTGAGGGGAGGGAGGAAGGGATAGAACTTGGAACTCAAATTTTTTTTTAAATGTTAAAAATTGTTTTTACATGTAATTGGGGAAAAATAAAATAGTACTAAAAAAAGAAGTGTCCCCTGAGCAGATACTAAAAAATATATAATAGAGAAGAAGAGTTTACTTGCCCAGGGTCAGTGTAGTGGTTGGGAACATAGTTAATAAGCAGCAGGTCTATGATGACACATTGAGCCTTTATGGAGACAGACATTCTTGGCAACAATGAAAAGTTACCTGGAAAGTATCATTGCCCTCAAATCAGAAATAGCATCAAAGTTTCTCTTACCTTTCAAATGGAACTTTCTTATGTCCTCCTTCTTTAACATAGTCAAGAACCTGCTTCTGAGTCCGACCACTAGGACAAAGACCACAATTATGGGAAGAGAAAGAATATACAATTGTTGTCATTTATACAGAGAAACACAAAGATTTATCATCTTGTTCTCATTTCTTCCAGAATAGTGAGCTGTTATACTTGAAATAAACTTTTCAATGGGTCAGAAATGAAAACAATAATAACAACAGAATCCTCTCCCTCCCATTCTCCAGAAGCTCTGGGTTTCACTAATGAATGGGGGTGGGAGGGAGAAGGTCCCATTTCTGAAAGCACTGTTCATGAAGATTTTGTGTTTTGTTACTGCATAATTGTATGCATTGCTATTGTTGCATACTCTTTCTTTGAAGACAGGTAAGTGTAATAAGATACCTCAGATTCAACAGAGATTATTAAATTATTTTCACTCCTAGAAAGACTGTTTACAGTTTTAAATCTAGTGTTGATGGCAAATCTGAAGGGGATACCAAGGGGCTTTGCTTTGAAAGCACTGAATTTCTACCATTTGGACATTTCAGTAAAGACCTTATTTTTCATTGCTTGCAGAGACTAATGGGTTTCAAGTAGTGCCCCTATTACATAAAAAAGCTGTACTGGCTGTAAATGCTAACATTTCAGTCAGAGGAGGAATTCAATTTAAGGAAACTTTCACTGAAATAGTTCAGAAGTGACAAATTGCAGTCATAGGTCTTGAGGATAGACTCTACCTTACCTGAACCTAAATGATGACCCTCTTGTGAAGAGAACAGGCTTGGGCTTTGGTTTAGGCTCTTCAAAAAGTCTGAAAAAGGCATGATGTTCCACACATATTTTCCAGAAGGACTTGCAGAAATCCCTACTGGCCATTAGGAACTCCAATGTGTCCTGGTATGAGCTCTAAAGAGAAAGAGAATTAGGACTTTGTTTTTCCTTTTGTCACCTACAGAAGAACTGACTGAGCTATGAAAAAAAGTGGATGGGAAAGTAAGAGGCCATATTTCCTTTCAATTTTTAATTTGCTAGGGTAAACATTCCCTTTTAATGTTTGGTGAAGCATCCTTGCCAGTGATGATCTAAGCCATAATTTCGCACATATATTTCGCACATACATAATTCTCCACACACTTAATCCTGCCCAGAAGAACTAACAAAGAAAGTCTGGCTTCTAGCAGGACTGATCAAATTTCTTTAATAGGATTCATAAACAAAATACACATTCTTCATTTGCAAGTACACTTAGACATGCCTTAGAAACTCTATTGTAAAGCCTTAGTGGCTAAGGTTTGTAAATTTTCTTCCTTAGGTTTCATGCCAATGTCGGTACATTATCATATGTCTTCTTAACATGTGTGTCAGGCCTAAAGGAGGAATCAGGTACTATTCTGGAAAGCCAAATCATTTCCAGGGGAACCAAAGTTTCACCTTAAGCTAACAAGTCTATATATTTTGCTTCTGGAAACAGGATGCAGTGATATTCCTTTAGGGTCCTATTACATCCCCTTTACCATTAATTGCCCCTAACTTAAAAAGCTATCTATCCATCCATCCATCTAGCTATCTAGTATCTATCCACACATATACACGCATGTGTGTATATATATATATATATATATATATATATATATATATATATATATATGTATTTGTTGCTGTTGCTGTTCACTTATTTCAGTCATGATCTCATTTGGGGTTTTCTTAGTAAAAATACTGGATGGTTTGCCATTTCCTTCTCCAGCTCATTTTACAGAAGAAGAAACTGAGGCAAACATGGTAAAATGATACACAACAAGTAAATGTTTGAGTCCAGATTTGAACTCAGGTACTCCTGACTCCTGGCCCAGTGCTCTTTCCACTGAGCCACCCAGCTGTCCATGTATATATCTAGATATTCATCCATCCAACCACCCATCCATCTGTCTAATATATCTATAACAACAGTTCCTATAATTCTTAAGAACGTCAAATTTTCATAGGGAATTTGACACATAATCTCCAAGAAACAAACAGATTATATTTCAAAATCTTATTTTTACTCAACTGTTTGGAAGTTGAGTGCATTGTTACATAGAAAGAATACTACAAATAGGACTGAGTACCCAGGTCAGTCTGAAAAAGCCTATTTAGTCCATACTAGTCCTTTAGAATCCAATCATCATTTATGACATGATTACTATGAGAAAATATGGTATATATTCAAAGTAGAGATATCAGAAATGCATTTGTTATTTCCATAGTACCAGTCATAAGAGCAAGTTTTTTTTCACCCTCTGAAGAAGGAATGTCTATCCCTGAAGAATTCTAGGGAATTCCTTGGTCTGAGATATTGCCACTCTTGATTCAGGTTGGGAGCAGGGGTCCATGGAACGGAAGCTTAGAAGGCTTAAAATGGGGGACGGGAGGGAGAGGTAGGGACTCTAGTGGATGGTAGACACTTTTCAGGTAATCAAGGGCTCCAGCTAGGTAGAAAGAAAAAGAGACTTGGGAGGGCATTTTCTGTTCCTTCTGGATATCAGAAGTAGCTTTTTGTAGGTGGCAATTCTGGTTGGGGCCCCAAGAGTGCAGCAATATACATGTAAGGGGATTTCCTGAATTTATAAAAATCAGTTACGTCACCAGCCTCAGACACCCTATCTACCCTTATGCAGTTGCCAGTACATTCTCTCTTTACTAAGGATCATGGATTTAGAGGCAGGAAAGACCTTAAGTTGAACCATCTCTTTTTTAAACATGAGGACATTGAAGCAAAGAAAAGCTCTGCATCTTATGCAGGGGCACATAGCTAGGAAATGTCTGAGGTGAATTATGAACCTAGGTCTTCCCAATTTCAAATATTCTACCTACTACCTGCCACTGCCACTCATAAAAGATGACAGTTAAGAAGCTACTTTCCCATTTGGCTTCATTTTCTAATTATGGAGACCCCCAACTCCAATTCACAAGGGCATCTTACTGTAAAGCCAAAATCAGTTCCACAAATTCAATTCAATAAACCACAAACATACCCTAAATATTCACTTCATTTGTGCCGGGATATCCAAATCAGGTCTCCCCTAAACTTCCCTGACCCACTTACATTAGCATCAGGGCGCAGCTTGATGAGAAAACGTTTCCTTTTGAAGCTCAGCTTCCTCACCTTAGCCCAGTTGAAGGCATTGATCTTAGTAAAACCCTAGAAAGAAACACAGAACCATCCAATAAAACACACAGCTGTCCAATGAAATACTGCAGCAAATTCTAGGGATATGTCCACAAATGACAAAAGGACATTAACACATCACTAGTTCATAAGGGATACAATCGTCTCTTAAAAAAAGTTGGCTAGACTCTTGTGAATTATCCCCTTAACAAAGCGTTGGAAAATACAGGGATGAACTTGAGTTCTTTGGTTCAATGAAACCAACCACCCACTGTTCAGGATGGGTACTGGAAGCTCTGAGGACCTGATAGATTACCCTTCTTTTTACTCCTTTGCTCAGGATTTGCTTTCTAGTATTTGATTTGCTTTCTTTTGTTTGAATATAATGTCCCCTACCAAATCTAAGCATATCAGGAATTTATTATTGTCTTGAATTGACCTTGAAAAATTCAAATTTCATTGATTCCAGTATCTGACGAACTTGCAATGACATAGCCAAGAGTTAGGAACAAGGCTGATACTGGAAAACACAAGGAACTGAATTATCAGACAAGCATTCATTAAGTCTAAAGTACAGTCTGTAAGCCTGGTATAGATATATTACTATATCTTTGGCATCTGAGGTTTTGGTAACTGGGTCATATTTGGTAAGGAAATCATAGGAACTCAGTAGGTATAAGCAAAAGGGCAGCACATTCAACATTATAGGAATAAATAAATGAAGGACTATAACTTTAGCATGTAGTGCTTTTACATTATTAATTTACTATGTAATTCCCAATATTCAAATTACTTAGAATGAAAGGGAAGCAATTTAATAAGGAACTATAAGGAACTTAGCTTTCATATTTCAGGATTTGGAGGGAAACTTTAAATGGTTTTTTTCAGTCTTTAAGGTAGATTAGTGTTACTTTGGGTTTTTAATATTTTTTAATAAATATATATTTATATTCACTTTTGCAGTAGTGATGTTATCAAGTGCTGCATTTACCTATTCGAAAAAGGTTTTGGAAGGCAGATCCTTCCTGCCACATATCATAAGTAGATAGTGACATTTTGAAAGCTATCTGATACAGAAAGAAACATTTCTTTGAATCCTCTCTGAAAAATTATCCCTAAATAACCAGCTAGTCATTAACCCTCAATGCACAACAGCAGAACAGCAATGTCCATTTTCTTAAAACGTGAGAAGGGTAAAGCTCTGAAGTAAGCCCTCAGTGTTATTTTTCTTGATTTGAAGAAAACTTGACAATACAGGTATGTAATGGTTAACTACAATTCCAAGAAATTTGGTGAAATTTAATCATAAGACACTATAGCATTTAAGGAAAGCAAAGATGTCTCTTCCACCAATGCCTGAAAATCAAAGCAAGTGGTAATTGCTTTCACTGGGTGAGAAAAGCACAGATCTGAAAAGTATAGATCTAATACATTTACAGGTTAAGTTCATGAGAACTTATGTGCTAGATCACATGGGGTCACTGAATGACTTTGGATTCCTGTAATCAGAATAAACAGAGATCAATATGGATAACGCTGCCAAGCAGACCAACAAGATGTTTAACAGGCTCATCTGCTAGTCAGTTATGTTGACCTGATAACTGCAACAGTATGAATCTCTCTCCTGGTGAATTTCTTAGATTTACAGATCTGGCACCAAATATGCATGTATGCATTTATGTATGTGTTATTATACATGTATGTATTGTATAAATTATACATGTGCATATATATAATGCATATTCCACATTTCACAAAATAATTATAATTATAGATAGCCTCAATCACTTAATATCATAGAAAATACTATGATTGGAATGAAATTACTAAGACCTTACTCCAGAGTACCATTGTGAAAAAATTCAATAATGAAAAAGCTATTTCCTGGGCTGAGGGAAAAAGCACGACTTAATACTAAGTTTTTTTTGATACATTAGATGCCATATACTGATCTCAGCAAGGATTATAAATTTTTCTCATAACCCAAATAAATCCTTAATTGAAGATTCCATAATTATATGAAAAAATGCTAATTAAATTGGATGCAGGAGTTAACTGAGTAAAGAGATGGTGAAAGGAACCAGACCTATGATTTAATTAACATAGGAAACACTTTCTACCAGTGTAGGAGGCTTCACCTTTTCTTCATACTTAAAGTCTTAGAGATTTGCCTACATCATTATTGCAAGGTTAAGAGACTCGATCACAGTATGTGTAAGAGACAGGACGTGAACCTAGGTTTTTCCTGGTTCCAAAGCAGGCTTTCTATCTACTGTGCCACCTTGGCCTTTCTCTAGGAGACAGACCAAAGTGATAGAGTAAGAAAACAGAAAAGTAGGCTGGGGTGGGGGGGGGGAGGGGATTTACCTCCTCTCACCAAAAAATAACAATAGGAAGGGTATGACTTTGCCTGATCCTCTCTACCAATTTCAATTAATAGTTAATCTGGAATTGAGTTCAAAGGCCCAATTTTCTTCCCCATCTCCTGCTTAAGGGATGTGAACAGTATTCTGAAGTGGCTCTCACCTGAAACACTAGAATTCCTGTGTTGGCAACAGCCAGGTTGATATTAGTACCCTCCCTGTCCTTCGCTGGGTGCAACCGGATTCCATACATCTCCAGTCGGCGGGCAATCTCCAGGAGCTGGAAATCTGATTCTGCTGGTGTTTGTCCACTTATAAAACAAAAATTAAAAAGAAAGGGCAGAAGATTTGAATTCCCTATGTCTATTAATTTGGGATTAAGTGGCTTCTCTAGGGACATAAAGAAGCATTTCATCCAAACACCGAGGCTAGCTGATCAGATGATATCCAAACTCCCATTCATTCCTACCCAAAGTCTAGCAGCTAGAACAAAAGCTCTATTGCTCATGTAATTCAAAACCCCAAATATCTACTTCAAATTCTGCCAATTTTCAGAATCTCAAAGAATTTCCTTTAAGGTTGCACAAAAGCAAAAAAACCCCATTGTGTTAAAACAAGTTTTCAGTCACTTACGATAGACCTAGCCCTGTAAATCAAATTCAAAACCATACTTTAGAGAACAGGGATTATAGCATCATCATGTCTTAAAAGCTTTATTTAAAAAACAAGGCAGTGACAACAAGAAGAAGAGCCAAAGGAATCTTCCATAATAGCAGGGTTGCGGATCAGAACCTGACCTACCTTTTAGACTATGTCATATGAGACTTTTTTAAGGCACATGACCTGGTGCAGTTTTTAATTTTTGTTTTGTAAATAACTACGCAATGGAGTGCTATGCATGACCATTTCCATTTTCATACTGCTTTGACATTTACAAATGGCTTTCACATAATATTTAGTTCTCACAATCTAGTGAGCTATGTGGATAGGGCAAAGATTATTATACCCCCACTTTACAAATGAATAAATCAACTCACAAGCATTTCTAAAGCACCTACTATGTACCAGGCACCAAGTTAGGGTCTTGGGAAATAAAAGCAGAAGTGAAACAGTCCCTGCCCTCAAGACGTTCACATTTTATTGGGTGAGACAACATGTACAATATGGCTACATGCAAAATATTTTCAAAATGAGTCCAAGATAACTGGAGGTGGGAGAACAAAATGAAGGATCAAAAAAAGGATAAGATTTTTGCCTGGTGTGGATGGGGCAATGCTTACTGAAGGCAAATGAGCTCCATTCCTAATTTATTTCTATTTTCTCTGCAAAGGACAGTAGCTTTAACACTGGAAAAGACAAAACTTAAAAAATCACTGAAAGTAGCTGATACCTAAGATCTGTAAGGAGATTACAAGAGAGCACCTTAATGAATTCAAATCACCAGATCCAGATGAACTATATGCTCAGGTCTTCAAAGAACTGGCAGATGTGACTGCAGAAATAATGTTAGTGATAAAAGAAAGATCACTGAAAACAGGAAAGGTACCAGAAAGACTGAAGAGGGCAAATGCTGCATCAATTTTCAAAGAAAGGGAAGGAGAAGAGTGTACAAACTACACCCCAGTGAGCATGACTATAATTCGTAGGAAAATTCTAAAAGAGATTTCGGATTGAAGAGATGATTAGCAAGCCTCTAGATAGTGAAGGGATGCTTATAAAGAGACAGGATGACTTCATTGAGAACAGATCATTCATTTCCTTTTTGGATAGGACAATTCCACTCGTAGATGAGGGGACTGTTCTTAACATTTAGATTTTAGCAAATTTTTTAATAAACTATCTCACACTATTCTTGTGGAGGATACAGAAAGACAGATCAGATCTAATCAGATGGATTCAGATTTGTTTAGACAGCTAGACTCAAAGAGGTAGTTGTTAATGGTTCAATATCAACATGGCAGGAAGCTTCAAGTGAAGTTGCCCTTGTGAGTTGTGCTTGACCCTGTGCTATTTAACATTTTTTAATCCATGACATGGATAAATGCAGAGATGGCACCAAGAGATTGCTAAAACATTGGAGACGATGTTTTACATTGTGGATACTGACTTATTTTTGGATTCTGAGGTTGGTCAAGGCTCTAAAAATGTTGACAAAGCTGACTTAAAAATTGATAGTCATTATGTTATACATTATTTCCCATTGAAACAAAGATATTTTATATGTTACAATAGTTACCTTTAATTTATGATCATTGAGATGGTAGTATTAGTGGCAAACCATTTATCAAGAAGGTTAAACAGTGTAATATACTTGAAGCAACAATCTTGACAGACTAGAGCATTGCAGCGGCAGCTGGGTGGTGCAGCTCTGGCCTTAGAGTTAGGAGGACCTGAGTTCAAATCCGGTCTCAGACACTTGACACTTACTAGCTGTGTGACCCTGGGCAAGTCACTTGACTTGCTTCACCAAAACCAAACCAAACCAAACCAAAACAAAACCAAAAAAACCAAAACAAAACAGACTAGAATTCCTGGAGGTGACGGTCCCACTATACTGGGATCTAATCTGGAATACTGTGTTCAGTTCTGGGCACTATGATTTAAAAGGACATTCATAAGTTTGAGAATGTCTAGAAGAAGTAAATCAGGATGGTGAAGGGCACTTGAGTTCATGTGATATAAAAAGAGGTTGATGAAAGGCTTTGAGCCCATGTCATATGAGAATTGGTTCAAAGAATTGAGCCTGACTAACCTGGAGAAAACCCAGGGAAGAATATAATCATTATCTTCAAGTATATTAATAGCTATCACATGGAAGAAGAATGAGATTTGTTCTCTTTGGCCCCAGAGGACAGAATCAGGAGCAATGGGAGGTAATTTTTAGGCTTGATTTCAGGAAATACTCCCCTACAATTGGAGTTGCCCCAGAGTTCAATAAGTTGCCTCAAAAGGTGATGGATCCAGCTACTTGGTGATGTTCAAGTGCAGGCTGGACCCCTTGTTGGCGAGATATGGTGGGAAGGGGGGGATTCCTTTATGCATTGAAGCATGAGGTCCCACTAAATCACAGTGATTTTGGTAGTGAACTGGGGAAGGAGGTACTAGAAACTGAAGTTAAGAGAAGTCAAATGACTTGCACAAAGTCATATATATGTAGAGAATAACTAGATTATAAGTTGAGCTCAGGTCTTTTGACTCCAATTGCATTGCATCAAGTATATTACACTGTTTAACCTTCTTGATAAATGGTTTGCCACTAATGCAACCATCTCAATGATCATAAATTAAAGGTAACTATTGTAACACACAAAATATCTTTGTTTCAATGGGAAATAATGTATAACATAATGACTGTCAATTTTTAAGTCAGCTTTGTCAACATTTTTAGTGCCTTGACCAACCTCAGAATCCAAAAATAAGTCAGTATCCACTTCAAGACCCAAGACAAAATTTCCTCAATTTTCAGATGTGTAATAAGTTCAGGATTCAAATCTCTTAAAAGGAAATGGGGGAAAAAGGGGAGGAAAAAGGTAGTGGCAGAGTAACAGCTATTTCCCTAAGGTCTTTACTTCTAGTGAATGTTCTGTTGACCTTTTGTTTCAATGACTGTAAATACAAATTTCAGATTATGTCAGCAGTTTAAAAAGTTCAAGGATGATGCAATTCAAAAATTTTGAAATGATTATGTGTAAAGCATCATGAAAAAATGAAAAGGACATAGTAGCCATTCTCGAGGAGTTTACAATCTGAGAAGGATTAGATATGTATATAAATCAATAGGTTGAAGGCAGGCCCAGAGCAGTTTCTTAATTTGATAGATTTTAATGTATTAGAAGAGAATTGAAACATTACCTAATCCATTATTCTTCTACAAGAGTGCCAAGCCACACTCGAACTCCATTGGCATAGAACTCATTACTTCAAGAGAAATCACATTTAAGGATCTGGGATTTCACCAGTGTGCATATTTTCCCTTCCTAATACAAACTGCTACTCCTTCATAACTTAGCAGATTTTTTGGTGAGTACCAAAATACGGCCAAAATGTTCACTTCATTATGGTCAATCTGGCATTGGTCTCAGGATTGAAAGCTGAAATCAGTCTAATCTAATACCTCTCTTTATAAAGATGAAGAAGTTGAGATACAAAAAAAGGGAAGAGACCTGTTTCAGGACACACGTAGTAAGGGTCAGTCCAATTTCACTTCTTAAGTGGCCCCTTCAAGTTTAACTGGGCTGACCTTCAGATGACAGACGTATAGCCCCACATTGTGTCTATGCTTAAAGCTTCTCACTCCTGCTATACCCTTCCAGAGCTCATATCTTGCCTTTCCTAGCTTTTGGGAACCCAGCGTAATCTCTATGCCAGACAAATGATGTCAAGTTTAGAATCTTCCTTATACTGAGTCAAAAGCTTTCCTCTAAATGCTACCCACCAGTCTTAGTTCTCTCTTCTGGAACTCCACAGAATATATCTCACCCAATTTCTATTGGAAAATGTTCTCTCCCAAGTCTTTTATTTTATAAGTTAAACAGATACTATTACTTGAAATGATCCTCTTATGATATGAATGTTAAATTCCTTTGGTTTTTTTTTAATTTTAGGAAAGTAATTTATTTAAACTTAAAATATTTCATACCATATCAGAAATACTAACCCAGAGAATGTGCCGTCCACTGTCTTCTAAACTCCCAACATTAAAAACAAACTACCTCTTTTTTTTTTAACACTACCCAGAAATTAAGACAGTGTTTCAAATGGGGTCTGGCCAGGGCAACAATGAGTTAACTTTTTTTGGCTACCATGTCATTCTATTGACTCATCAAGCTTGTGGCCAACTGAATTCCACAAATCTTTTTCCACATAAACTGACTAGCTAATTCTCTTCCAACCTATGCTAGCATGAATAATTTTTTTAAAACTAAGTACCTGACTATACACATATCCCTACTAGACCTACTGGAGTTATTTGGTTTCTTGAATATACTTCCCCACTGAGAGAGAACTTGCCATTAACCAACACAAATAAATATCCATTTGGCAGTTATGTTTTTCAGTATAAATGATGAAAATTGGCTTTCTGGAGTTTTAAAACTAGCCTCTTTTTGGGGGGGGTAGGCTAGGCAATGGAGTTAAGTGACTTGCCCAGGGTCAGACAGCTAAGGAGTGTTATGTGTCCGAGGCCGCATTTGAACTCAGGTCCTCCTGACTCCAAGGCCGATGCTCTATCCACTGCGCCACCTAGCTGCCCAAAACGAGACTCGTAAGAAATTGTTCAGCATGAGTCAGTTTTTCCCAGGACCTAATAAGCCCTGGAAATGGAGAACTGCTATATGTTCCAGACTTCAATCAATGTTTGTTGATTGGGACATACAGAGCCGATGACCAAATTCTAGAGTGGTAAAAGGAAACCAAACTTTCTTGTCAATCAACTTAGATTGCTCCTAGAATGAAAAACCTGGTTACTCCAAAAAACTATCAAGTTAGCTCTTTCCTTCCTTTCATTACCAAACTTCTAAAAAGTGGGTTATGCTCATTGCTTCTACTCATTCCTTGAGTCCTTGGAATTTGACTTCCTCCCTCACTTCACTCAAGTACCTCTTAATCACTAAGGCCCTTTGTTCCCAACTAGCTCACACTGTTGATCATTCCACATACTTTGATTTTCACGATATTTCACTCTTCTGGTTTCTTTGTGATTGCCCCTTCTCTGTCACACTCTGCATGTTGGTATACATGAAGCCAGAGTAGTGGGACTCAAATCTTGGCTTCATCACTTGCTACCTGTATAATCCTGAAAATGTCATTTAAGCTCTCTAGTCTCAATATTATTATCTGTAAAATGAAGGACTTGGAATAGGTCTTTTCCAGCATTAAATTTATTATGCTATGATATTCTCCTTTCAGCCCTCTATATGTAGACATTCTCTTATTTTCCTTTACAATTTCTCTGTAACTTCTACCACTTCCATAGTTTCATTTAACATCTTTATGTACACAGTTTTGCAAAACTATGCATCTTGTACTGATCCCTCTGTTCAATCCTATGTCTACATTTCTAAGTGCCTTCTGGGTGTTTCCATATGAATGCCCCGTTTCCTAAAATTCAAAGTGTCAAAATCAGAAGCCATCATGTCCTCCCCCTTAAAACCTGTTCTCCTGCCCTCTACTATTATTTTTTTCCATTAAGACATTCTTTCAGCCATCCAAATCTCCTTCCTTCTTGTTCCTCACATCTCATCAGTCACCAACTCTTATAGACTCTTTCCTTGGAAACATGATGGACAGTAACTTAACAATTAATGTAATACTAATGGTAATGATAAACTAACATAAATGCTGCATTAATAAATGAACAATAAATTGCTGCACCTATCTCACATGCTTGAAATGTTATAATAATGGAACAAGGAAGTGACTGTAAAATCAAGTTAGTATCTTATTTAATTCTATTAAGTAAGCACGTCTTACAAGCCAGAATAACTTTTATGATGATATTAGACTAGGTGTCTGTATCTAAGAATCAAGTTACACACCAAGAATTTGCAGGACAGAAAGACTATTTCTGGCAGTGAGGATCAGGGTGGAGACCAAATTGCAATGGGTTGGAGAGTGAATGGATATTGAGGAAATGGAGGAAGCATGTATTTACTGTTCTTTCTGGAACAGTAGTGATAGAAAAGAAAGTGATAGGATGACAAAAACAAAAGACAGGTGAGGGTTAATTGCTCAAATTGGGAGAAAGGTTGGAATCTAAATTAGAGGTAGAGCAGGTTAGCTTTTGGCAAGAAGAAGTGAGATTTCTTCTTACTCTGAGATGAGTAAAGTGGCAGAGGATAAGAGATGACAAAAGTTCTAAGCTGTAGAGAAATGGAGCAAAGGGATCTATATTTGTAAAGCACTTAGCACAGTGCCTGGCACGTAACAGGAACTACATAAATGCTTTTCCCTCGCCCATTCCCTTCTCCTTATGTCAGATATATAACTTCATATCGCAATAATGTAAATAAGACAACGTGCTGAGAATGAAGGAGCAAAGGGAGGGGAAAAGGTTTCACTTGAAATAAAAAGTCAGTTAGGTATTATTAGGCTGAAGGTTTGAACCATAAAATTGTTACTTATTGTAATATGGCTCAAGTTGTAGAATTATCTTCCTAGGAGGTCTTAACAATTTAAAAAAAAACAAATAAAAACCTCTAGAAAACTAGTCAGAACATTTTAGGAGTATTAATTTCTCAAGATAGGGATGTTAAGGAATGGACCTCCCTAGTTCCCTTCTTGCCTTATAATTCTATGATAAGGAAATAAATTACAGAAAAATATAAGCAAAAGTAGTGAGACTTACATGTGGTTATGGTGAAATTCCACGATTTTGTCTTCTAGTGCATCTTGCTGAGGTATGTACTTGTTCTTTGCTAAGTGCTCCCGATCTACTGTTTCATCAAAATCCCCAATCTCAGCTAACAAATAATAAAGAAAAAACAAAGGTCACATTTAGCTGTCACTTGACCGGTTCTGAATTGTCAAAAACATAGCTGCCAAATTGCTCCTGCTTGATAATGCAACTTAAGTGTAGCTGTTTTTCTGGGTGCACATTGGGAAAAAGAATGAGTGATTGAAGACTGCTTTATGAGGAGCCTTTTACAGATCATGTAGGACAAAGTTCTTTGTTTCATTTCCTTATGTCTTAGAAATGATGGAGGTTGATTTAATTACCTGCGGGAATCTAAAGTGATTTTTGAAAAATCCATGGATGTTTCCATTGAACTTCATATATGTATGAACACACATGTGTGTGTGCACATATATGCACATGTATACTAATACACACACATACATACATAGTTAGATATATTACATGCATATACACACACACCTTACAATTAAGTTACACATGTACACACATCTTTAATACATATATTCCAGTGACTAGCTGCTGGTAACAAAAAAATTCAAAAGATGGTATCTCCTTCTGCAGTCCTATTGCTTGGTAGCATAATATTCTCCCTTCTAGACATATCACTAGGTAATTCTATTCCCCTGCATTCTTGGAAATGCATCAGCTGCATCTCAGTCACCACCTCTGGAATCTTAAAAATCCCATGGGAAATTCCAGAATTTACATACTGCATTTTTCAGTGAGCTTCTAAAAGTAATTTAATTACATAGAAAACTGAATCATTTTAAGTTTCCTCATCTGTAAAATGAGGGTACAGATTAGGTGACCTCTAAGGCTTATTCTGGCTCTGAAACTCTAAATCCTATGAAGAGGAGTTTATATGGTAATAAATGGGTAAAGAAAAGGGGCTACTTTTTGAAAACCTTATATTAGTGTTTTTTGACTTAAGAGACAAAAATTGCTAGTCAAAATATCAGCTCTTTAAATTAACCTTCTAACATAAGAAATTGTTTTATCCTTTCACTTGACCATAACATAGCCTTAAAGTTGCTATAATATGGAAATTAAAACCACATTATTTTAAAGACATAACTGTCACAGGTTAAAACTTAACCTTGTGTGCCATTTTCTTTCTGTCTCATGGTCTTCAGAAAGATTTAATAAGACATTGCATTATAGACTGAGGCCCATCTGTCACGGTTCTGAGGATTAAATGTAAGTCACTTGTTGCTATGTAACCTATCTTTTGGGCTTTGTCAAACAAGACTGGATGTCACTTTAGGGGCCATCTACCTCTTGTAATTACACCAAACATGGCATGAAAGCTGCTGCTGCCAAGCCAGCAATCATATTTCACCCCTATCATGCTTGCTTGTTTTACACAGGATAGCAGCCACAGAGACACACCAATAGCAGCGCCATTTACTGCATGCATCTGCTTCCTTTTCTTGAGCCAGACAGGTCAATAACATCATCCAATTTCCTAATTTCCAGATACATGTCTTGATTTCTTGAATAGCTCTTCCTTTAAACAGACTGAAACTGCCATCTGGGAAACCAAAGCCCTCTTAAAATCTCCATCATACAAAAAGTACTGAAATAGAAAATAATTACCAGATCATATCTCTCATCCTAAGTTGGTAGCCTTAGCTATAAAGTGCCTTTGCTTCACCATCATTGTTTCTCTCTTCTACTAAGAAGAGAGCTCAAGACAGAATGCAGTGTACAGCTCAACAGAGGTTTCCAATGAATTTCTATCAAGTATTTAATTTTCAACGACTGGCTAAATTGCTCTTTTCTAAAACTGAGCAGGCACACAACAAAGATTCCCAATTATTTTCTTGTCTCAGCAGGATGAATAACCCTTTGTAATTCTCATCCCCTCTGGAACATTTGTCCTTCATATACCACCTAAAAGAGCCTACAGCATTTTACTGACTACTAAACTAATTTTCTTATCTCTGTTTTTCCTCCCTGAATTTTCCTTAGAAATTTGTCTTTTTTGATCAATCAACACACATTTAACAAAAGCACCTATCATATATCTGGAAGGAAGCTAAGCTCTAGAAGACAAAGATTAGAAAATGACATATTTCCTACCTTGAATTAGCTTATCTTCTTGTTTTCTATGCATATATAGATAATTATTTAGTTGTTTCAGTTAGGTCCAACTTTTCCTGACCCCTTTTGGGGTTTTCTTGGTGAAGATGCTGGAATGGTTTGCCACTTCCTTCTCCAGCTCATTTTACAGATGACGAAACTGAGGCAAACAGGGTTGAATGACTTGCCCAGGGTTACACAGTTAGTGTCTAGGCCAGATTTGAACTCAATAAGATAAACCTTTCTGACTTCAGGCCGTGTACTTTATCCACTCTGCCCTACATAAATAGAAAGCCCTTTCTACTGAAATGTCCTCACATTTTTTACTTAAAATACACAGTATGCCACATTCATTGTCTTGTTTCACACAGATAAAAAAGTTCCATTTTTTGTTGCTATAGGGCTTTATAAAATTAGGTTTTGCTAAATGCGATACTTTCACGATACTTTTAGACAATCACTTGGTACCAGATAATTCAAAGGTTAACATAAATATAACAGGAAGGAATTAACTCATCCACTACACCTCAGAGCTTACTCTTAGTTCATTATTTACATCACTATCCCTTCCTTCTATTAGCAAAAAAAGGTATTTAACACATTATAAAAATCACACTTTACTGAAATTCAGACACTACATATTACAGAAAAGATACTATAACCACACAAATGTAGGAAGCTTTGATACCCTAGGAAAAATAATTAACTATGATCTCTTCAGGAAAGAACACATAAAAACATAGTAATCATAATGATAACAATAACTAACATGCATAGTATTTCAAAGCCCTACAAGGTACTTTACATATTTTAGCTCATTCGAATCTCACAACAACCATGGAAGATAAGTACTAGGGGTATTATTAGCCCCACTTTACAGAAAAGGAAACTGAGGTTTAAAGAGTTTTATTGACTTGTTCCATGGACAGATAACTATTAAGTGTCACTGGGGGGAATCGGAACCTGGAACTTCTTTATTCCAAGTTAGTAATGAATCCAACATAGAAGATGATTTTACTATATGGTAGAGGGAAGAGGAAAAAAAATATAGAGATTTCAGTCACATATATATGATATCAAACAACAAACATTGACTAAGAACCTCCTATTGTGCTTAGTGCTGGGGACATGTGAAAAATAAACAGTTCCTGTTCCCAAGCAACTCATCTTCTATCAGAGAAAACAACATATATACAGATAAGTAGATGTCAAACATAAGTACAAAGTAAGTATAAGGTGATTTTGGGTGGAGTAGGGTGGAGACATCAGTAGATGTGGAGAGCAAGAAAGGCCTCATGTAGAAGATGGTATTTTTGACCTAGTAAGCTTTGTAGGAAGCTAGGGACTCTAAGAAGGAGAGGGTGTCTGTTAGGCATTTGTGCATTTGCAAAAATATAAATACAGGTAAAAGAATGTTATGTGTGAAGGACAACGCCAGTTTGACTAAACTAGAGTGTGTAAAGACAAGTAAGGCATAATAAGGCTAGAAAGGTAAACTGAAACCAGATTATGAAGGATATTACATGTCAAACAGAGAAGTTTGTATTTTACCCTACAGCCAATAGGGAGTCAGTAGAGTTTATTGAGCAGGGGAGTGACATGGTCAGACCTGTGCTTTAAGAATACTACTACAGGGGGTGGAGCCAAGATGATGGAGTAAAAGCAGTGACTCACCTGAGCTCTCCCCCCAACCCCTCCAAATACCCATTAAAAAAATGGCTCTAAACAAATTCTGAAGCAGCAGAACCCACAAAAAGACGGAGTAAAACAAATTTCCAGCCCAAGACAGCCTAGATGGTTGATCAGAAAGGCATATCCCACTAGGCAGGGAGCACAGTTCGGGGTGGGCGCGCAGGCCACAGCAAACCTGGAGCAGGCCTCAGAGGACTGAATCACCGGCAGCTGTGGCAGCTTCCAGACTCCTCAATCCACGAACCCCAAAGACAACTTAGAAGGTCAGTGGGAAAAGTCTGTTTTTGCAGTGAGAAAAGAGCTAGGTCAGAGCCAGTTCTAGAGCACAGAGTGCGGGCACTGGGGCCGTGGCTGCGTCCTGAGCTTCTGGCCCACAGACTGAGGGAATCAAGTGGCTGATCAGAGGGGGACTGCAGGGATCTCTTTGCTGGCATCGTGGCAGGAATCTCTTGCTTTGCCTGTGCTTCGATGGGGGTCACAGTTCTGGGTGGCAGTCCTGGGAGGAGGAGGAGTGCCGGCGTGGTGGAGCTTGTAGTGGTGGTGCAGAGGAAACCCTCCTCGCAGTTCCAAGAGAGAAAAGACTGCTTGTGGCCGGTCACTCAAAGACCAGAGCTCAGGGCAGGAAAAGAGCAAACACCGCGACCCTTATCATACCACCTTGGAAGAACTGAAAATTTACAGGTTCCTACAAGTATCTCTGAAAACAGCTATACAAACGCCCCAAAGCTTGGGACAGTACACTCTCCACATTGGAAGCAGACCTTTACCTTAACAAAGAGTTTAAAACTCATGTAATTGGCTGGGATCATGAGCAAGCAGCACAAAAAGAGTCAGACTATATTATCTTACTTTGATGACAAAGAAGATCAAAACATACAACCAGAAGAAGACAACAAAGTCAAAGCTCCTACATCCAAAGCCTCCAAGAAAAATATGAATCAGTCCCAGGCCTTGGAAGAGCTCAAAAGGGATCCTGAGAAGCAAGTAAGGGAAGTAGAGGAAAAAGTGAGAGTGATACAAGAAAATCATGAAAAACAAGTCAACAGCTTGCTAAAGGAGACCCAAAAAAATACTGAAGAAAATAACACCTTAAAAAATAGCCTAACCCAAATGGCAAAAGAGGTCCAAAAAGCCAATGAGGAGAAGAATGCCCTAAAGACAAAAATTGGGCAAATGGAAAAGGAAGTCCAAAAGATTACTGAAGAAAATACTTCCTTAAAAATTAGAATAGAGCAATTGGAAGATAGTGACTTTATGAGAAATCACAAC